ACTTGATTAACACAATAAGATGTCTCAAGGATTCAAACACACGTCTTCTGAATCATACAATTTCGGCGCTCGTATTATAGCTGAGGGCGCGATAGAGTGTACAACAATATGATTTACTATACCCAAAAACACTTCACCGATAGCAGACCAGAATAATACAGTCGTTCCCTCACAATCCTGCCGTGCTACTATCGTCCGAAACATATTACTACCAACATCTCATTGATTCCACCACATCCGTTTCACAACGCGTGATATTAAATCAACAGTCAGACGGCGGGAACGAAAAATCGGGCCGGCCCCAGTTCGAAATAAGCACATTTTATTTCGCTATTATTACATAAACTAGATGATTGTCGTAGTTGAACCATTGCTTACTCCGATTGGAACATCATGACTTCCATGAATTGCAAATATTGGCGTTTGATGTTGATATTTTCATCCTCAAAGTTGGCTTTCCTGAGCATAGCATATCGTTAATTCACTTTACCTAATATAATTAGACAGAACTAACATAGTATTATTAATCTTCACCCACTATTTCGACAAGACACTCTTGGTTCCAGCAATAATCTCAAAATCAATAAATCGATCCCCGATAACATATTCTTGTAATAAAATCATCGAACATGTTTCGGCGGTTGATTTTTATCAAAAAGATCGCCACCCAGTAGAATATCTACCTACACGCGAGCAAATACTTGAATTATTATCAGAGCCAAGAAAGGAGAAAATTCTAAAATACGTTGTACACTTTATTTGCTCAGAATTTCTTTAAATGTTACGAATGAGTCGTCTTGAAGCACCACATCACCATCCTTGTAACCAAGATGGTTATCAGAGGTGACAAGTATTTTGAGAGTATTTGGCCCGTCTTCTATAGGGGGCCCACTGAAAGAGTTCAAGGCAGATCAGTGGGCAGTTGCGAAATTACGGGACAAAAAGATATCGAGAGTACTTGCATAGGCATCTTAGAATATTGGTTACGATAGAGGACATTCAAAATACTACGCGACTATATCTTCCGAGATCACATGACAATAAAGATAAGTATGTTGTACACTCACCAGAACAAAATCTGCTGATCAATTAGTAAAACATATTTCTTCAGAAAGCTCTATTGTTCGTATTTACTACAGTATGAAAGACGCAGTGATTATTGTACCTAAGTGAAGATAGTTGGTCGTACGTTTTGACATATTTTAATCCTGCAGTTCGATAAAGTGAAAGTATCTATGTTACACATGAAAATCATATTTGTAACATATATACTGTTCTCATTTACTCTGATCCTTTATAAGTCACTTACATTGATTTAATTACACTGATTGAAATTTAAATTATTGTTTTGTTAAAGTACATCTAATTGGCTTCAAAATGATGTAAATTTATTGTGGATTTGGCCCGTTTCGGGGATTATCACTGTAAAAAACGGTATCTAAAAAAACACAGTATATAAAAAATTAACGGTACAAAAAACGCGATTGTACAAAAAACGCTGGCTAATAAGACAAGTAGCAGAGTATGCGTTCTCCATCGTCTCCTTTTACTGTTGGTATTGGTGTAGCGGTAGTGTACTGTACCACACGAGGCAGTATTACGTAACACGATTTGTATGCTGGGATTTACGCTTGGCCACGTTCGCAACGATTCTTCCCGAAACATGTAATCGTCTGACAACACATACAGGGAGTGGTTAGTTAAGAGTATCCAAGAAGGATTTATCAAACACTATTCGGAAGAT